AAAAGTAAAAATCTGGGCGCATTCTTTTCACCAAACACCTGTGCATCTCCCCATCAACCCATATAGGGCAACTCCTACTCTCCAAAACAACTTGTTTCAAACTCCACGCGGTTAATTCATCTCGAGAACGCATCAACCACTGACGTCATAAAATGACGTCGCCATTCATTCACCGAGTTTCAAACTAGCTCGACCGCGTCACAAAAAAAAAAAAAAAAAAAAAAAAAAAAAAAAAAAACTAGACGCGACGGATGCGCGCGCAATGAAGCGACGTTAATGCGAACTGGCACGTTGCTGTATTGGGTGTTCTTTCGCTGAGGCCGAGGTCTCCACACTACAACAAGATACGTATGTTACATCCGGGACACCCAGCAAGTACAACGAAATGAAATCCGATCTCTGAGTGTTGACTAAAGACTTCAGATATTTATGAACGGTGTACTCATCGAATTTCAGGAACTTTTTTGTTTAACAAAGCAAGTGGTCGTACATTTTTTTTTTAAATATTATTTCAGGAATTTCAGAGATTTGAGAGGTTGGGTGTAATGGGGTGGGGTGTTGCAATTGTAGCTATTTTAAATTCCTTAATTCTAAAAATAAGATTCACTTAGCTGAATCATGTAACAATATTCCTGTTTGTGTGTTTGAAATTGGGGGGGGGGGGTACATATTAAATGTTTAAGACTGGTATTTCTTGATTTTACTATGTAATAAATAATAAATATGTGGATTTTTTTACAACTTTCTGATGTGTTTTTTTTGGGAAGATAAACTATATCAATATCAAATAATATTTTGAACCGCATTTTAATTTTTTCTAGCGTCATTGCTTTAAGAAAGACTCGACATTCGTACCCCCTCACCCTTTTTGTATATTCTACAGCGCCGCCTGGTCTAAGGCGCCCCCTGCCTCCCCCACTAGCTCCGCCACTGATATGTTGCAAAAATGTATTCATCGAAAAATCAGACCAGTGTGTCTTCCAGACTTTATTCTCGGGGGGGGGGGGGGGGGGGGGCACTTGAAATTTTCGGGGCGGGGGCGGACTAAAATTTTCGGGAGGGGGGACGGACAGTGTTAGAAGTATCTATTTTATATATAAATTCAATTTCGTTCGGGGGGGGTAGACTTTCGTCGTGCAATTTCCCCCCCCCCCCCCCCAAGAGATGCCTGGAATAAAGTCTGAATCAGACGGGGATGCGACAATCATATTACTGACGTCTCATTTAACGTCTGGTTTAGATTTGAACATGAGACTAAATCTAATATCCCCAATCTTATTGTTTTACCGTGCATTTAAAAAAAAAACAGTAGTTGGTAATTGTATTTAGGGAAGTTATCTATAAATATCTATTTCAGAAGACGGTACACAAATGACTAATGTAAAATATATCTGATACTTTTATATCAGTTACGCCTTTAGCCTTTAGACGCAAAAACCCAATCGCGTTGCTTAATTTAAATTGAAATCAAAAGCTTGTAAAAAAGAGTCGGATTGTTAGGATACCAGAAGTACGTCTGCCACATTGTATGCTGAGTTTTGAAACTCCCGCCTAAAAAAATATCGTGATTCAAGTATGAGATATGCTGTCGTCTGCCGTAGGCTTGCTACAATGTAGCCACGTTATCAGTTACATACTAAATCAACTACATCGGTATCTTATAGGCTTGTCTGTGGAGTCGTTAAGAGGTTGGGGGGGGGGGGGGGAGCAGGGGGGGGGGGTGTAACCAGTTGAATTATCCGTAAAGGAAATCGAAATTACATTCCGTCACGGCGTATATATATAGACTGTATGTAATGGTTTGGTCGCGTTAAGAATGTGAGGCATGCGACGGCGTGATTAAAACAATAGGTGTTATTGTTTCATTCTGGGACCTGCTAGGTGTGGGGATGTGGGGGGAATTGGGGGGGGGGGATCCTTTGATGTTGTTTTAGTAGTAAACTGTATTAGATTACAGGTTAAACAAATATTTACTACCGTTCGTCAAAGTTTAATATGTAAGGTAAATACCACACCTAGCGACCCTAAGGCAGGTGAAGCAGAGTGTATCTGCTTCTTGAACTTCAGATAAATAAAAAGGCTATGTGGTCATCTCTATCGCCACCCGATGATACTTTCCCCAATACGAGTCCGGTACAATTTAGAGCTGGATCGACTCAAGAAGGTCACAGTGACTCCTCCGAGGTAACCGACCCCGAGACTTTCGTGTACCCAAGCGCTCTATAATTCAAACTCTGTAAACAGAAAACCTGTGGGACGACGTGGTCTAGCGGTAGAGCGCTGGACTGCTAACCGAAAAGTCTGGAATCCGGTAAAAGTCAGTAGTAGGTCCCTGAGTCCACCCAGCTATCACGGGTACCTAACTCACGTTCGGGAAAGTAAATACGCCTAGGTCTCAGAAACAGGTGAACTCTACTTCATTTGCACCATGGACCGTCAGTTTCGAAAAGAAAACTTTACTTACAGAAAACTTAAGTAATTTTCGAGAAGTTCGAGTCTTTGTGTAGAGGAAGTAGAGTTTATCTATTCATATGATCGACAATATGTGACCTTATCACTTCAAAATCATCTATTTTTCTCTAATTAAGCTTAAAAAAAGATCCCTCTTTAGTCCTAATGATCCATTGGGCAGATGAAGCAGAGTTCATGTTTCTTGACCTGGGCATAAGAAGGGATAGTATGGTCAGCACTGTGGGGGGGGGGGGGTAGTAGACTTGCTTCGGGTGGGGTGGGGCTGAGAACCCCCGAGGAGACGTCTGGAAGAAACTCTGCCTTAAATCTAACCAGCCATCTTTATCTATGTGTTCCTGAAAAAAGTTTCATATTTTCTCGTTTTCAGATTATCAACGCTGAATAATCAAAGGCCTGCAATGTTTTCAGATAACGGTAATTTAGGCCGTCGACCTATTAACCGCTTACAATTATACAAATTAACAGTGAACAAATAGTAGGTACATTGACTATCAACACAAAATTGCGCGAGTTTTACAGTAAGCAACAAGTTCATTGACTATCAACAGAGACAAAGAGTACGAGTTTTACCGTAAACAAAAATGTAGTCTTTATTTTATTTTAATTACAAAAATTTAATCTAACTATCAACAGAGACAAAAAGTACAAGTTTTACCGTAAACAAAAAAATTAGTTCATTCGAAAAGTGATGCTAAACTTGAAGTCCAGGTGGGGTCCCTGCGCCCTAGTTCCTTAAAAATGTCCCTAATTCTACCTGACACTTGACCCCCTGCATAGGCCCCCAACCTTCGCGGGTGGTAGCACTTCGCTACATTGCTACATGCATGCCCGTTGGTAGCCCGTTCGCTCCTTGTACGCGGGTGGTAAAATTCACAACCTCTTCAATTATCTCTTGTCTCCCTTGTCAGAAAACTATCGCTTGTCTCCCTTGTCAGACAACTGTCTCTTGTCAAAAAGATTGAAGAAGTGCTTCCGTTCAGTTTGACCTTTATCACGTAGCAAAAAAATATCCCAATCTTTATGTAAACCTCAAATCAACTCTATAATTTATGTCCATTTATTATGAGATAAAAGTACAATAAACAACATAATCTAATTAACAAAAATATATTTCCAGTTAATTTGTTCCTTAAAGTAGCTTCCTATTTTTTTAACGAGCGAAAAAAATCCCACTTAACTTATCATCAGCAGTCTAAAAATAGCACGTTTTTAACAAGGTCTTTGGCCTCATTTTCCAATTATCCGCATTTTCCCTAATCTAATTAACTAAATTAGAACATGAGTACGATTTCCATATATGGTCACTACTTTTCCGACTTCATTTAAAAAAATCTATTGAACTTCAACTTTGTTCTGTTTTTTTTTATCGCTCACATTAAGCATTCAAACTAGCAGTGTAGTGTAAAGGAGCTAACCAAATACCAAAAGCAAACAAAGATTTCTAAAGATACAAGAAAGCACACATCTTGTAACGTGGCGTCACCACGCTTTCCACGCTAAGCAAATATATCAAGTTTAGCGCCTGTACTTTACAGGCCGATTATAAGAAAGGGTGTAGCAGTTTATAAATAGATTTTTGAGCTATAAATAAAATTGTGGGTACTTTCCCATTTCGAGGGGGGGGGGGCGCCTTAGTGGAGAGAGTAGTCCTACCCTTTAATTGCCTATTTGGTAGAGGAAGTGTCTATGGATATATTATACGACAAAATACATAAATTCACAATAACGATAAGCCTATTAATAGGCATATATATATATATATATATATATATATATATATATATATATATATATATGGATATAATATATATATATATGTTATATACATATGGATATATATATATATATATATATATATATATATATATATATATATATATATATATATATATATATATATATATATATATATATATATATATATATATATCCATATATATATCCATATATATATATCCATATATATATATATCCATATAAATAAATATATACACACACATATATATATATGCATAATTGTATATATATATATATATATATATATATATATATATATATATATATATATATATATATATAACTTAACCTCCGAGCCCTGGCACTCATATTAACCCCAACCTCAAATATACATTTAACCCTGACCATGACTGCTATGTTAATTAAAATTAATAGTAATAAAGTCTATTTTAAGACACACACTAAACATCTACAAGCTATAAACAGCGCAATTAATTTAATGAAAACGAACTCATGGCCAGTATTTTAATTTAATTAAAACCACAACTCATTACAGGTAATTAAATAAAAACTAAACCCAGTCTCGTGAGATAACGAGAAGTACACGTAACCGGACGTCCCATGCCCATATACGGCAAGCGGTGTCCGCAAATCGTTGGGATACCGCGCGCGTCACACGACTTGGCGAGGGTGAGGGGTGGTACGGGAGAGGGTGTGATCAGCCTTCGCATTCTTCATGGCGTCACCGGAGTTATCGCCCCCCTGTCGGCCAGAAGTGTATAAATATGACGCGATGCGCTGGTGTGGGCCATTACAAGCTGAACTACCTAACGCCGTCGAGAAAACTAACAAAGGTGTTATACAACTGACTTTTTCACAACCGCTGAGATTTTGGATTTTCTTCATTTTGTTTTGTTTGAATTTAATATTTTGAAAAAAATGAATTCTATTGGATTTTTCCTGCTATTGGTAAGCTTTTAAAATATTTTAATTTATGTTATCATGAGATAAATGCAGGTAAAATATATCAAGAAGTATTTGAATGAGGTTGATTTAATGTTGTACTTTTTCTTAAATAATTTTTTTTAGAAATCTTACTCTTAAGTAAAGCGCTGTAGAAATATTTTTTAATTTCATTTTTTATTGATTTAAAAATGTTATATTTTTTTAGTTTTTAATTTAATCCTTTTTCATTTTTATTATCTTTTTTTTTAAAAACAATCTCTTAGTTATAAATTTTACATTATTTGTTAGTTAATGTTATGTTCTTAAATCATGAAATATTTTAAACTTTTAAATATGTTTAATTCTTGTGTGTTATTTTCTTAACCTTTGCATATTTATAAACCGTTTAGACTAAAAATATCTTTTTTCGTGTTATTTTCATCTTTAAATATTTTATGCTTTTAGACTAAAAATATCTTTTCTCGTGTTATTTTCATCTTTAAATATTTACACGCTTTTAGACTAAAAATATCTTTTCTCGTGTTATTTTCATCTTTAAATATTTACACGCTTTTAGACTAAAAATATCTTTTCTCGTGTTATTTTCATCTTTAAATATTTATACGCTTTTAGACTAAAAATATCTTTTCTCGTGTTATTTTAATGTTTATTTAAACGCGTTTAGACTAAACTTGAAAATCTATTTCACTAAACCAACAGGCTGCAAGCGTTGTCGTCCTCTCCAGCGCCATGACCATCACCAAACCCTGCAGCAAACCTGCCGATGTTGTCTTCGTCATCGACACGTCCACCTCCGTGGCTGTCTCGGACTTCAACGACTTCGTCAAACCCTTCATCCAGAACGTCGTCTCCATGTTTGACGTCGGCCCGGGCCCCCAGCAGACGCGAGTTGCCGCCCTCGTCTACAGCACGGAGGTCAAGCTCCAGTTTCACCTGGACACATACGACAACCAGGTGGATCTGCTTGAGGCTATCTCCCAGATTAAGTTTTTATACGGGGACACGTATACGGACAAGGCGCTTAAATACGTCAACGATCACATCTTCGACCCTAACCACGGCGGGCGAGAAGACGTGGCTCACATCGTGGTGGTTATTACCGACGGGTTGTCCAGTAGGAACTCAAGGACCAGGGTGGAAGCGGCCAGGGCTAAAGAGCTGGGCTCGGCCGTCTTTGCTATCGGGGTGGGCCAGGCCGATGATAAGGAACTTAGCCAGATCGCCAGCAAGCCAGACTCGCAGTTTAAGTTCAAGATCACAGACTACAGCGTGTTGGATAGCATCAAGGTAGAGCTGGCCATCAAGACATGCAAGGGTAAGTGTAACATGATAATCCGATTTTTTTATGCACACACTTAAGTTTTGGGATGCGTTCTAGGAACAATCAGTATACTACATGCAACCAGAGGCGTAGCAAGGGGGGGGGGACATATGTCCCCGGGCGCCGACCTTAGTGGGCGCCAAAATGGGTTGGAAAAACAAATTGAAAGTTTGCGGGGGTGCAAATCGAAAGTTTGTCCCCGGGCGCCGGGAAGAGTCGCTACACCTCTGCATGCAATTAATGCTATAGATGGAATAATAAACATTTTACTTATTATAAATTTTTAATTAGCATTGTCTTGATTACGAATGCAAATAATTATTTAAGGAACATTTTTTTCGTTAAATGTATTTTATTTATAAATCTAAATGCATCTCCGATTATTTATATGTTTTTAATGTCTTTTTTTCAGTTGAAATTTCAACCACTACAACAACTTCAACCACGACTACCACAACACCGACAACCACAACTACCACAACCACTCCTGAACCGCCACCACAAAATGGTAAGTGCTTCTTAACGAACCGGTTCACTCTTTTCTAAATTAAAACTTAAACTGAGTATCATTTTGGCCATTTAAACAACGCTATCGCCAACTTTAACAAAAACTCAAAATGTGAAACACCGAACTCTGGCATTGGTTAAAGAATTTGTGTACAATAATTTGGGTTGCTTAAGGGCTGACATTTTTTTTTCTTTTTTCCTGGCAGAATGTGGTGGTAAACCAGCCGACATCTTCTTCCTCCTTGACTCTTCCAGCAGCATCTTCAAGCCCGACTTCGAGAAGGTTGTCCTCGGCTACGTCCGTGACGTCGTTTCCGGCTTCGACATCGGCTACCAAATGACCCGCGTCGGGGTCATGACCTTCAGCGACAGCCCCCGACTCGTCATTGGTTTAGACGCCTACGACAACAAACAAGACCTCTTGGAAGCTCTTTCACCGAAGATCATCCGCTACACGCTTGGCGGTACCAACACAGCCGAGGCGCTTAAAGACTTGTTGAAAGTCGGGTTCAACACCCGGGCTCGCGATAACGTCACCAAAATCGCCGTGGTCATCACGGACGGTCACTCCTGGGACGAGAGAGACACGCTGAGGCAGGCGACGCTGTTGAAAGAGAGCGGGGTGCTGGTGTACGCGATTGGCGTAGGCAAAGGCGTCAAGACCTCGGAGTTGAATGGGATGGCCAGCGAGCCTGTTCAGGACTTTGTTTTCACCGTGGGGGACCTGGGCACCCTGGCCCAGCTGAGGAATGTTCTCGAGGCTTACGCGTGCATTGGTGAGCTCAACCAAGGAGATCAAGCAGGTAAGGATTGAGTTTTAATTTTTAATTAACTTAATTGCAATCAAAATTACAATGACCAGGTAGTTACATTTATTCATTAGAGCAGTATAGTGTGGAGTAGTGGTGTTTTATTTATGTAGTTAGTAATGTTAGACGCTGGGCTTTTGTCGAGGATAGGGTAAGGTTAGGGACAGGGTTAGGGTTAGGTCTGGTGTCCATACAAGTATTAGGGCGATGACACTAACAGAAACAATAGTTGACACAGCTCTGCTGCAATAGGGCTGGTAAGTAGGTCACCAACCAGTTCTACGGCTCAATAAAACCTCCATGAGCCATAGAACTGGTTGGTGACCTACTTACCAGCCCTATTACAGAAGTAACTTTACCCCATACAGTATTTCTCAACATTAGCATATTAAATTATCGTGTTGAAATACGATTAGTGGTTACAAAATCCTCCCATCATAAATTATGTAATATAACTACTAGTCATGTGACTTATATGATTTCCTTCTATTTTTATAGTCTGCGGCACCGGTCCAACGGAGGTAACGTTTGCGTTCGATGCCAGCACAATGACCAACACAGACAAACACCACGTCCTGGAACAAATCCAGGAAGTGACCAGACGTCTGGAATCTCTATCCGGTGACGTCAAACTGGGCGTGGCTTCCGGCGGCTGCCCGCCCAGCATGGAGATGGAAATGTCCAAACCCGCTGACGTCACCAGCAACATCCGGGATCTCAAGAACAAAATCAGGTCCAACCTCAAATCCGTCGTCAAAGATTGGAGAGCGTCAATTTTCGGCAAGTCTAAACTCTCCAAGAAAAGAAAACAGAGGAAGATCTCCAGGTTTTCGCTGAAAGACTCCAAGAAAGGACTAGTCCTTCTCCTCAACGCCGACTCAGTCCCAGAAATGGGGGACATCGCTGAAGAGGTCAGGCTCCTGATCGAGTCAGGCGCCCACGTTTTCGTGGTACTGGACAAAGCCGTCGACAGGAAGTACGTCACGTTCTGGGAGGAGATGCTGGGCAACAGGCGAGTGGTCAGCGGAGTGGACACAACGACGGACTACTCCGGTTACGTCATGGAATTCACGTGCTCCTTATAGCCCCAGAGGAAACTGTAGTTGTAGTTTTAAGTTAACGGTAGGAGTTGGAGGACAGAGTCATTGTACATTGAACTTTTGTATAGTGTTTTTCAGCAGTATTTTCTTGTGTTCTAACGTCTGTTTTCGGACAGAAAAACTTCTATGCATATATATATATATATATATATATATATATATATATATATATATATATATATATATATATATATATATATATATATATATATATATATATATATATATATATCAGTGGCTTAGCGACGGGGGATGGGGGGGGGGGGTTCAAATGTCCCCGGGCGCCGACCCTAGGGGCGTCAAAATAAGCTCATTTTAGCCTCTATTTTGAATTATAAATATAAACAATTTAGGGGGGGTGCTACGCTTCTGATATATATTGTAACTTGACAGACCACAACTTTATTCAGTTGTTCAACTATCGCTCATTACTTTATGAAACCAGTGTTTGTGGCCATAATGTATGTTTATGTAATCAAAATACTCATATTTATAACTGTGTTGTCCCATACTTCACATGCTTTATTCAGCATTTGTAAAAAAAAAATCATAATCCAAAATGCATTTACTTTGGTGCTACGTTAGTGACTTCACTAACAAGTCCCGGTTGTTTATATTTTACTTTTTTTTTAACTGGCGCGACTGTTGCAGAAAACTTTGTTGAATTTCAAGGGTTAAAAATGCGAAATAATAATAACAATACGCAATTGTTTAAAAAAAAAATATTTCGTAATTATTCTGTAGAAGTACGTAGATTATGTATTATTGTTAACGGGTTTAACCTGTTAAACGAGTTAACTGTCATCCCTTGATGTTGCAGCTACTGTTTTCCATTTGCCAAAGAGATTACTGACTTTCTGTGATAAGTGTGCATAGCTAAAAAATAAATATCACGTGATGTCTGAATGCGATGAGAGTTCATTCCCTTGCTGTGGGAAACAAATTCTGATGAATGAATGAAACTGAATGAAAATATTTAAACCATGACATTACTGTGTAAAAATGTAAATACGGTAGTTGAAAAAGTTGAACATGTGATAAGTTGGTAAATGTTTACAAAAAGCATGTAAGTTAAAATCGTAGAATGTTAAAAAAAAACGAACCAATTCTTATGTATTATTCTGTATATATAATGTAAATAATAATTTTCTATTTTACATCGTGGTTCGTTGATCTATTTTATAAATTATATATTTTATATTTATAAACAAACTTATACTGCTGATGTGTATTTTTATCTGACAATCATTACAACAAAATAAATTTATACTAATTTTAAACATAAATGTGTTTCATAGTTATTTGGACTTTATTTTTCCTGTAAGCTATCTGCGTTAATAATATATAGGGCTGGTAAGTAGGTCACCAACCAGTTGTATGGCTCATGCAGTTTTTATTAAGAACTGGTTGGCGACCTACTTACCAGCCCTATAGCCAATCATAGTTTAACAATTTTATTGGGTTCAATATTAATTAGAGAAAAATTAAAATGTCGGAAATTAAAAATGCCGGTATAGATAGTATAGCATGGGTTTAAGTGTCAAAGTAATTGCTTTGTTGGTGACAGTGCAGGCTAATTTAACCTTAACCTTTGTCTTAAATCTGACCCAGGGTCTTAACCTAACCTTGTTCCTAACATAAACCTGTGTCTGTTTACGTCCCTGACACATTATTGCTTCCCTTGATTGTGTGTGTGTTGTGTGCTCGAACGACAGGTGCCCACTTTTTGTTTATAGTTGTAGCCCTTGGTTGAGTGTGTTTACATAGAATGAGAAGTGTTCACGCGAGAATCGACAGTTGACTTGTGACACAGCGTGTGCTATGGTGTGTTGACGGCGAGAGGACGTGTTGTGTGTGCTGTGGTGTTAAGTATTGTTATATCATAACTATTGTATTTTCTGTATCTTGCATTAAACATTTTATAACTATTTAGTATCAGCATTAGTATTGTCGAGTCCGTTGTATCGTGCTATACGCTGTGTTGTCCTGTATTATTATATCATGGAGAAGAACCCTACCCCTAGCCCTAACACCCCCGTTTCTTTAAACCTAATCCTAACCCTTCTAAAATCCAAAACCTAGTCCTATAGCTAGCTCAATAAAGCTAACCCTATTTAAACCCTTACCCTAACTCCGACCTTAGCCATATATATATATATATATATATATATATATATATATATATATATATATATATATATATATAATATGAACTCAATAACAAAAAACGTAGTTTAGAATTACAAAACGATCACAGGACGACGCCACGCCGACTGAAGGGTAAAAAAAAAATAACACTAAACTTAGAAGTTACGACTTAACACTTATCAACAGAGTTCAGTTATAGCGCATCTGTACTTTAGTTTTATAATATTAAATAACACTAAGGATAAGAATAAGAACCAAAGCAGTATCAATATAGGTTAGGTTGGGTTTGCCTGTCACCCCTCCTGGGACATAGGCCGCTGACAAGAACTTTCCAGGCGTCTCTGTCCTGGGCTAGTCTCTCCAACTGTCCCCAGGTGTATCCAATCTTCTTGCTGTCTTCTTCCAGGTCACGTCTCCAGGTCTTACTTGGTCTGCCTCTCCTCCTCCTGCCCAGTGGATTCCAGGAGTATCAATATAACCGCAAATTTTTTACACAAATATAGACTGCGGAATAGTAATTTTAATTATGTTAAAATGTTAACTTAGACGGGTCCTCAAATACTAACAACAACAAAAAATAACGTAAAATATATTATACAACAGCATCATATCACCAAGGACAGACCCGGGGTGTTGATAACACCAATCACGTGATATTTATGCCATCCCACGTGACCGTCTTGTTTACAAAAAGCCCTAGATGCGACCTGCCCTGGATCTGGATCGGCTGTAAATTACAGGCTACAATTCGGCATGTGGGTGTCGTAGCCTCTATGTGGAGCAGTGGTTCCCAAATCATTTTTGCATCGTTCCCCTTTAAAACACCACAAGTTTTATCATTCCTCCCCCCCCCCCCTCCCACTCGTCACAAATTGTGCATAAAAGAAATAGTTGTGTTTCATGTTATTCTTGTTGTTGTTTTTTTAATTTTTTTTTAATTATTATTATTTTATTATTATTACCTCAGACATGTAATTTACAGCGTCAGTTTGCCTTGCCATGTTCGCTTTAGTATTACAGTTTTCATCATTGGCTTGTGAGGACTGATACAGATTTACAATAGTAATACTTTTTAATATTAATTTATTTGGTGGTTTTAAACAACTTCAAAGACATCAACATCAATAATTGTATGTATAGTAATTATATATATATATATATATATATATATATATATATATATATATATATATATATATGTGTGTGTGTGTGTGTGTGTGTGTGTATGTATATATATAGTAAATTAATTATTTTTTTATACTTTTATTTTCCAATTTAAAACAAATACAGTAACATTCAACGCTGTGTGGGTGGATATTTACAATGTAGTTACATTGATGTACAGAGTATAATAGATAAATAGCGAAATAAGAAAATGAATACATACGATACCTTGAATTTAAAGCTTGTTGGTTCAAAAATTGGACAGAGGCTGGTATA